ACGGTGGCATTGGTGACTCCTCAGAGACCTCTGATTCATTAGTGGAGACCAGCTCGTGACGAATCTGAGCGATTTTCTCCCTGAAATGCCTGGCAAAGTCGTCACAGCGGGCCTTTGAGGGTGGCATCGGATCTTCCTTAGGACCCAGGCGAACCAGGCCTTGCACCACTCGAAAAAGCTCCGCTGGACGGCATTGTGAGGAGGCAATGGAAGCAGAAAAAAATCACTGGAAAGTTGTCCTAGCTTCTATATGTACTCTTTCTGTGGATTTCACACGGAGGCTGTTCAGCAAAATCTTTCCTGTCTTTTGGACACTCCAGAAGCTTGCCAAGAGAAGCTGGTGAGCTCTGTCGGATGCCCAGTACCCCCTTGAGTCCTGCAATGACCCATGATGCAGGTGTGTCCTGCAGTGACTTCTTTTTGGTTGGAGGCCATTGCTCATAGAAGCTCCGTTCTTCGGAGATCTGCAGTCATGTGCTTTTAAATTCTATTCCTGTGATTTGGGGGATAATGAATGGATGGCAAAAATGGCCACCCCTTTAGATCTTCTACCTGAAATTTTTAGTATGCATTTGACACAGAAACAATCCTTTCCCCTCCCTCCCTCTCTTTCACGCTTTCTCTCTTGCGAGCCATATCAATACCTAATATGCGTGGATATGTTTGATCGTCTGTCCGTGCGGGCAGCAAATTATGCGAGCTGCAGTACGACCCATCTACAATGAATCAGGTTGGGGAAGGCGGGTCAAAGCCCTTTTTGCTGTGCAGTGCCCGTCGTGGCCAGCAGAGGGCAGCAGCCTGTCGCCAACACGCGTAGACCTTCCGAGCCGCAAGCGCGCTTCCTCCGATGGGGCGTGGCCACAACAGCTGCTTGTTGTTCTGCAGAGGAACAGCTGGTTCACCCCCTCTGTCATCTGGTGGATGCTTCTTAGGGGGCCTGCTCCTGCCTCCATAATTGGATCAGCTCTTTTAAGAGGAGATCACTCTTCCTACAACGTTTCCCAAAGAACATTGTACTGCCAAGGATACCTTCTCCCAAGTGGCCCGAGTTTTTGAAAGCAAGCCTTTCCTGTAACTTCCATAGCAAAATGAGGAGCTCCAGAAAAGATGGAAACGTAGGAGCGCGCGGTTCCACTGGGGCTGCTGCAATCGGCGTTCAATCGTATGCCCTTTCACTAGAAAGTAAATCCCAACAGAAGTTCCAAGAGGCTTAGTTGAGGCACGTGAGGCATACTAATCAGTCTGCCTACAATTAAAGAACAGATTTGTTTTATCGTTCAAGCTATTTTGAATCTGGTGTGTCGCTGAAATCAGTCAGAATAGAGGACAATGTGGGAGGGGCTTTCCTTCTAGCCATGGACTGTAGCTTTTATTAAATTGTAAGGCACAGCTCCAAATATAATATGATATAAATATAATATAATAATATAAATATATTATTAATAAATATAATAATATTTAGAGAAAACCTATTGAAATCTATGAGATTTAGCAATTAAGGATGCAATCCTATGCATGTTTAGACATGTGTAGGATTGTGCCTTAAGTTAGTCATGCTTACTCTAAGCAGGACTAAATCAGGATCCAATGCTATGTTGGCTTACATTTCCTTTAATACAATTAAACCAAACATATACTGAGGTTTGAAGAATATTGCAATGCAAAGTGAAGTACTGGTTCCCCTTTACTCAGCACTGGTTAGGCTTCATCTGAAGTACTGTGTCCAGTTCTGGACACTACAATTTAAGAATGATGCAAACAATCTAGAATAGGTTGAAGCGGGGAACAAAGATGATTCAGGGACTGGAAGCAAACCGTTATGAGGAGAGATTGAAAGAACTGGACATGATTAGCCTTAACAAGAGAAGACTGAGGGGATATATGATCGCACCCTACAAGTTATTACAAAGAGGAAGGACAGGATCTCTCCTTGATCATCCCAGAGTGCAGGACACAGAACAGGCTCAAGTTACAGGAAGCCAGATTCCAGCTGGATATTAGGAAAATTTTCCTGACTGCTGGAGCAGTACAGCAATGGAAACAATGACCTAGGGAGGTTGTGGGCTCTCCCACGCTAGACTCATTCAAGATGCAACTGGGCAGCCGTCTGATTGGGATGATTGAACCTGGAGTCCTGCACTGAGCAGGGGGTTGGACCTGATGGCCCTCTGTCCCCTTCCAACTCTACTATTCAGTGATTCTCATTCTCTGATGAATAAATTAAAAAGCATGATTAATCACTTTAAAAACTTGCATTGAATCATAGAATCCAGTGTATTTAATTGGGTGACAACCGTAATTTGCACACTTGACATGAAAAGCATATTTGAGTGCATCTCATGGCATCTGTATGCACTTGGATACCTACCTTTGAAGCTGGACCATTTTTGTGTTGCTCTTATATGTTGATTGATGAGTGCAGCTTCCCTTAAGCAAGAACATTTAACATGTTTAAGCCTACAGGGTTAGAGGTAGACTTAGTCATACTTGGAATTGGTCATGAGTCCTTTAAGGCCATTGATTTCAGTTGATCTATTCTGACTCACTCTACATCCAGCCCATTGATTTTTAATAGCTTAGATCCTTCTTTGAATTTCAACCCGAGTGGTTTGGGAGGTAGTGTGCAGAGCTGCAAATGTAGGGGGAGGTTGATAGAAATTGCTTCCTCCTTAGGAAGAGCAAGTTAGGGTCCAGGCCAAGAGGTTCAAAAGCACTTAACTCTGTGCTTAATTCCCTCCCAAATATTTAATGGAAAACCTAAATGTGACATGCTCCGTCCAACTCTGTCACATTTACAGAGCTACATGTGAATAGTTGCTGCAGGTTGCAGATATATATTTGGATGGTGAGCTGAACATAATGCAGTATGGGGAGCTGCAGGGTGCAAGATGCATATCAGCAAGTGCAAATCAGCACTTTTTGTTCATCCGCAATTAATTACTTTCCAGTGGGCTACTTGTGGTGACCTCCCCAGGCACAGGGGTTGGAAAAGAAATTGGGGAGGCTTATTTTTTCTTATTGTGGAACAAATGCTTGGAAGGGGCTGACCCTGCCATGGGTATCGTGGCTTCAGCCTGAGAGGATGTTGCTTTGGCATTCCAAGTTCAGCTCTTCAGGTTGCTGCCTTTGCAAACAAAAGGCCTTCCAGCTTCCTTGCTGAAACAGACACAGGACCCAGATTCAGTTTATAGTGAAAACACTGGACACAGTCACACGGCCTCAGGCTGGGATGGGAGCCCAGGCGTTTGCAGAGACAGGTTGAAAACTTCCCTGTTCCACCAAGAGGGACACTCCTTTTGTTCCCTGGAACTAACAATGAGAGGCTTTGACCCCCCAGGGGAGTGGGGTGGGAGTTGGCAGTCTGAGTGGTGTTTGGGCTTAAGGTTGCTTGCTGGCACAGGATGGCAGAGGAAAAGATTAACACTTTTGGCTCTTGGTAAAAGGTCAGCTCCACTGGGAGGAAAGCTTGGATGGAAAACAGTTCTGTAAGGGGATTTCTGCCAGCAAGGAGCCTTGAAAAGTTCTTTGGTGAGTGCGCATTCAAGAGCCTTTCATTTTTATCACAGAAAAGTTACTCTGTAAAGGCTGAAAGAGACAGTTTTATGTATTGGGTTAGAGCCAATTTAGTCATATTAATGTACCCTTTCAGCTTGTTGGAATTCTCACCTCAATGATGCTGCTGCTGAGGTTGCATTAAAGTAATCTGTCTGTGTCCAAATAAATTCATTACATGCATGAAGGTGTTTTTTTTTTAAATATTAGGGAACTTTTTTTAAAAAGTCACATGAAAGGAAGCAAGGACTCAGTTCTGAGTTAGGCAGGTGCTTGAGGAAACTGATGCTGGCAGGGTAGGTTGCTGGAAGGCCAAGAGGTGGATCTGCTGCACACTGCCTACAGGTGCAGTGGAGTCTGCTGTTGTGTTGTTAGTGCTGGCATAAGATTCAGCCACAGGTCCAGTCACCTCTTGTGTGTGAAAAGAGAAAAGCAACCTGTCGCCCTTTGCTTTGGACAGCAAAATGTTTTGGGTCAGCTATGAAGTCCACATGCTTGCAGCCTGCCATCGTGCTGGCCAACAGGCCTACCTGCTTGAGAAAGTGAGCCATGAGCCTCAGGGAGCAATCCTGCACAAGGATGGCTGAGAAATGCTGGCAATGGTAGGACATTTCTGCCTAAGGTGCATAGGATTGCACCCTTTATCGTTTGCTCATGACTTGCCCCACAGGACTGATGAGAAAATCAGGAAGCTGGTTTGCTGGCAGAGTTTACTTTTAAAACCTATTTCCCCCAACTTAAATCCTCCTTTCACCTGAAGCAGTTTTTATGCTTCCTGTGCAGGGGGAAAAGACAGGCTGATCCCATCCCTTTCCCACCCCATTGCTAATAGCAGCTTCATGGTTAGTGAGTGGCATGGGAAGAAAAGGTTAAGCGCCATCCCTCAGAATATCAGATACGGATATTCAAAGCAAAATAAATGAGCAAAACAGCACAGATGATCATAGGTCTATAGCCTCCCATGCGTCATACCTTTATTTGGGTCATCCGTCTGTGTAGCATTTATCTTCTCAGAGCTGCTAAAAAGTGGCAAATGAACGATTTTTCTCTGCATCCTTTCAAGGCACTTTATTGGCAGTGTAGAAAATGTATTCCCAATTAATCAGTGCATGGTATTATTAATTTTAGATTATTTGTTGCATAACCAAACAATGTGTTTTCTCAACTTACTGGTCAGGAACCACATTTAAGCTGGAGCAATGATGTTTTCTCAACTTACTGGTTAGAAACCACATTTAAGCTGGAACAACGATGCCATGAAAAGTGAGTTTCAAGATGCAACTGAACAGCCATCTGAGAAGGATGATGTAACTTGGTATTCTGTACTAGCAGGAGGTTGGATTCAGTGGCCTTCTTGCCCCCTTCCATGATTCCCTGTCCTTTCTTCCCAAAAATGGACATTCCACCTTCTTGAATATGTTGCACAGAGTCAGAAGATCCTTCTGAGTGGGGTGAGCTGTGGTGTGTTGTGGGGTGGGGTAGTCCCAAAAACCAATGAAAAGTCCTTTGATGAACAAAGCTCTTCTCACAATAGGAAGAGTCTGGATCCAACCCAGTCTGAGCCAAGAAGGCTGGAGCAGAACTGAGTTCTCAGGAGAGAAAAATAGCTGGAGATGAATGAGTGTATCTCTGATAAAGCATGTAAGATGTGGGCAAGAAACTTTCATCCTAGATCTTGCTTCCCAGATGAGGCTTTTACTGCACCACTGTTCCCTAACATTATGTTTGGTCCAGACAAATTCCATTTTTTCCAGCTGCTGCTTCTTTCTTACTGTGGAAAAACCATTAAGGAGAACAAAACTCAGACACTGCCCTCTGCCTTCAGGTATGTGACTCTCTGGGCTTCCCTATAAGAAACTTTAACCCTAACCCATTGCTTCAGAGGTTTCTGCTTCCAGATTAAGATCAGCCCCTTTGCGAATCTGCCTTTCCTGTTTTGTGTATGCTCCATGATACAATTCCATGCCTGTATAGGGGAATTGTGAAAATATAGCAACTTCTTATCCCACCATTTCCAGATAATACGGCATTTTCCTCACTCTAGAAAAAGCCATGAAAATGCTTGTCAAGAGCAGAAGAGATTCCAATGATGCTGAGAGAATTATAATGCAGAATCCATTTGATGGCCAAAGATTACTGGACTAATGTTTTTGAACATTCAGTATGTACTAAGTGCAAGTGTGCCTTGCAATGAAATAGCATATCCTTACCTTCCAGTTGTCCTGCTCAGCCTTTTTCCACCCCACCCCATCTCACTCTCTTTCGGTTTTTTCTCCTCAGCCAAGAACACTGAGGATGCTCATTAGCTAAGCAGTCGTAATGGGCTGTGCTTTTTGAGTGTGTGTGTGGTTTGTAAAGGCCATCTTAACTTTTTACAAATATATATTTTTGTACTTTGGTGATAAGAACCCCATCTTGCTTCCCAGTGGCCCCATTTTGCTATGAGCTTGTTGGTTCTCAGCATCTGAGTTGGCACAGGAGTAACCTGCCTGACTTCTAAATTTTCCTGGGGCACCCAGTTTGCCAGTGGGAGGAGATGGGAATCTTTTATCTGGCCCACTGAGCCTGACAACTCCTATGTTTTATTTTTATCACAGTCCTCTGTGTACTTCCCAGTCCATTGGGAACTGCCCCTTGGCCTGTGGAACTGCACGCATGGGCTACCTCCACCATAAGAAAAGAAGCACAAACTCATTCCTCTCTAGAGACTTTATTGTTAAGAGTTGGGATTCACCATCAACTGCTCTGGGGAAAATAAGACAGAGCCCACACATTCTCAAAACAACAGGATCCCATTACATGCGGGAGTTAAAATTCCAGCTGGAACCCATTTCAAACAATGCCCCTTTATACAGGCAGCTGGGTTATTAACTCCCAGCGCCTCTTTAGATTTAAGGAATAAGTAAGGTGACTTTCTAGCTGGACCATCTTTTAGGTTCCACAGAATTCTTTACAGCGCAACAAAGCAATAACGTGTCACTCACATACTAAATACCCTCACCGACAGCTGGTCCAAAGAAAATATTTTACTTTATTTATTTTGGATTCCTTATTCTGTGAGATCAACGTGGCAAACACTACCTAAACATGTATTTTTAATACAGCCAGTCACATTCAGAGAACTGATACAGTTGGAATCCCGTTACAGAAGAAGCCGACACAAAGTTCACCCTCTGCAGCGCTACAAGAGCCTTGCTCAAAGCCAGCAGGCCGAGCCCACCAGAGTCAGCGCTTTTCGCAAAATATCTGCAGCTGGTGACTCCTGGAGTCTCCTCCATTCCTCTCTTTTCATGAAGCCAGCATAATCCTGGCCTGTTGTCACCTGTGCCTGGCACAGCTGCAACAGTGCAATCCGGCTCAAGCTCCCAGCCATCCCCCACCCACAGCATTCCCCCGAAAATTCCCAAGAGGAACAATCCCACCCACCCCTAACATCCCCCACCCCCGATTCAGCCTTTCCAGCCTCCCCAATGCCCCTGGTTGCCAACATAGCTTGCTGTTGTAGCAGGAACTGTTGCATGCACACCACAAACCAGCTACAAAGGGTTAGTTTTTTAAGGAAGGGGAGGAAAAAGAATGACTAAGCGATGCAGACTTGGGCTGAGGAGGAAGATAAGTACAGGCACAGGAGGACACAAAATCAAAGCAGAGAGAGAGAAGTGGAAAGAAACGGAAGACTCTGTGTCTTTTCGAGTAAGTGCCAAGAACAGGATTTGTCTGAGAGGCAACTAGAACCTCTCAGGACAGTCAAGTGGATGGGAATCTTGGGAGACGAGATCCAAGTGGACGAAATGGTGAGAGGACATGAGGATGGGGTGGGGTGGGAAAAGCAACTCTTGTTTCAGGAGCACTGTCTCAGCATGGCAGTAGCAATCCAAGCCCTTACAGGGACGTGCATCTCTCTTGTGAGGTTCTGCTTTTGCTTATGTACACTCCAGAGGGGACCAAGAGAGCTAGCAAGGCAAATCCAATGCCCATCCAGGCTACTCCAAGAATGTATCACTCAGAAATAAGGGGAAGGGACAATGGTTAGTTATGAGTTAGGCAAAAAAGAAACCCCAACGATACTCCAGACCTCCCTTGTTAAGGAAAACTCAGTGTGCAAAGGGATGGGGGCAAAAGAGAAAATTAAAAAAAGGTAGAGAGGACCTAGCAGATTAGAAAATCCATATTATTCTATCCATACCTCTCTAGGGGCTGAGGGTCAGTAAAGAAAGTGGGGAGCTGATACTAGTTTTAGGTTACTTGGGAGAAAAGGGCAGGGTGGGTGAGGGAGGCGTGTATGTGTTGGGTGAAAAGGATGGATTGGGGAAGTTAATGTTTGTTTTAAGAAGAGTAAAACTGCATCCCTCTGGGCCTCCCTGGACGTTTAGTACCATTAGGGGAGATCGTCATGTGGCCCAGCGGCCGGAGTGCATTGTGGGATTGCAGAAGTCCTGTTCAGAGGTGGGAGGCGGTCTCATCCCCTGGCCCGGCGCTCAGCAGGACACCTCCATGGTGGGGGCAGGCGGCTGGGGTGCCCCTGCCTCGCTGCTCTGGGACAGGGTGCGTGAGCGGGAGCGGTTCCCGTCCCCTGAGGCGGCACTGGACAGAGAGGCGGTGCGTGAGCGGGACAGGCGTGTCATGCAGGATGAGGCCACTGTGGGGAGAAGGGGGGGAAGAGAGAGAGAAAGAGAGAGGCAGAGTCAGAGAAGGCCCTTGCACATGGGAGCCCTGTTCCACCCTTGCAAAAGCTGGTGCTAAGGTTGGCCAATTATGGAGCAAGGAGCATCGTGAAAGGCGAGCCATGTCGCATGTGCCCCACAGCAATGCCTAAGAGGGAACAAGCCCGTCCGGGCACAAAATAAGGGTACCAAGCCATTGGGGCATTGTCTAAGATGGCCAGTTTTATTTAGGTTCAGATCTGGGGCTCAGTTTCCTTCACACCCTGGCCATCCTTGCTATCTACAGAGCTAAGGTGAAGGCAAATGCTCTCTCAGTGGCAACCTGTGAGGATCTTCTTTCCTTATAGGGTGTAGACCAGGAAAGCCTATAAAACAAGTTTCTAGTCCCCATGATTTAGACAGCAAATGGAGATGTGTGCAGAACTTGCATAGTTATGCTATGATCAGGCCTGCAGTTGTGCTTTCTTCCCCAACTTGCAAGCCGCACCAAAAACAACAAAGATGCACACCACAACTGCCCCAGCCCTCTGATATTCTGCCAAGCCACATCTCCCAGATTCAAGATGAGATGGATCATTCATACACGAAGGGATCATTCAAAGGAAATGTTAATAATCTGTGCAGTCTTGGAATACGTGCAGGACTGAGAGCTGTGGCATCTCCTGTATGCTATCATACAAAGGAATGACACCAGCATTTCTCACTTGGGGACATGACAACGGAAATCCAAATAAAGCAACTTCTGCTTCCTCATCATCACAGCAAACAACTCAAGTGTCTCCTAGTGTGCACACAGGAGTGAGTGAGCCGCAGGAGGGGTGAGAAGACACCTTGGGGAGCGTGTCAAAGGATTATGGGTGGTGGGGGAGAAATACCACAGAAGGTACCTGACCCCTGACTCAGTTTCTTGTCCAGTATGTGAGGGACTGAGGAGAAATAGGAAAATATGCTCAGTCTACAGGGTGGCTGGGAAGGGGGGAGGGGAGAGGGAATCATCTTGGAATGTGATTTCATTACTGACTGCTGTTCCAAGATCAGGCCAGAATGGCTCCCACCTTTGTGGGTCACTCATACAGCATGACCCAAAAGAGCCTTTTAAAACTTGTGGGCAGGAGATGGAAGCCCAGCTGAGAAAGGATAGACGAGATTCAGCACATGGGCAGGGCCCTTCCTCTGTCATTGCTAGGGACTCGGAGGTGAACACTAACAGAAGTGCAGCACTTAGCTGTCAGACCCCCCACCCCACCCCATCCCATTTAAAAGCAAGAACCAAGATGGCACTGCAGATAAAATGGCCCATGAATCTCTGCTGCTCCCCCCAGGGGGAAGTCCCGAAACTCCCTCAGCCTCTGGTGCTAGCCATAGATGGGAATGGTAGTCATCATAAGCCACGCATGTGGGTACAGAGAGATGAGTATTCAGCACAACCTCTGTTCTGGGCTGCATGGAAGTATGGGGCCCAACATGCCCTTGGAAGCCAGTACAGGGGGCCATGAAGTCTTGGATCAGATACTCACTGTATCCCATGCCTTGAACGAAGTATTTGAAAGCCTCAGTCAGTTTACCAGGCTGAAGGATGGGGGCAGGGGAGAGGGACAGAAAGAACAGAGGGAAACATTACATGTGTGCAAATCTAGTGGGACACACGCACGCACAGAAATTTGTTCCATGATTTTTTTCAATTATGCTATTAATCATGCTTTCTTTCCCCAGCAAAATAAGTGCTTTTAATAAGCTATTTTAAGGGGTAGAACATCTATCATTTATAAAAGTAACTGGCATAAAAGCCTCTCCAAAGTACTCCATTAAAAAGCAACAATTTAATCTAATTTAGGGTGCCATCCTTTGTCTGTTCATACAGAAGCAGGTCCTATAACTTCGAGCATTCCCCAGTGAGGCACAGTGGCTGAAGAATGCTGGATGCTGTAGGATTTTTTTGCACCCTTGTTCACATTTTGGGATGCGGACTCTTCTCCGTTCTAACCCTGTCCCACTGCTCCCCTTTTATTTTGCATAATGAACAAACCCAGCATGTCAGTCCTAAAACATCAAATTGCTGCTACTTTAAAATCACATCTGGAGTGCACATCAGTCCCCAGTCACAAAGATTGTCTCCTGAAGATTTCTAAGCTGGGGTTTGGCATACTTGGAACAGTTCAGTAAAGGAACAGCTTCAAGGAGCCCACGTTCAGTTTTATGGCAACAGAAAATCTTAGTCGAACTGCATACTTTGTTTTATTTTATCCTTGATCACACGAGGAGCCTGTGCATACATAGCAAGGACCCCTCTTTAGACCTTCCATGCCAATCTGTGGGTGGTGGTGGGGGGGCATATTGATGGAGGAAGGCACAAAGGTTGGGCCAGTGCATCCCATGTATGCGAATCACATGACAGGCGGCCACACATGAATAGGACTGAAGAAATGGCTTGATGCAGTTAAGTATCCATAGCCATGTCACTTAGAAAAGAAAATTATTCTGGTTCTTAATGGTGGCTTGCCTTCCATAATATATGCTATTTGTAGCTGTGCCTTCAAATGCAAAAGAGGATTTTCAATAGAGTCGGTGCGCTTTTTGAAATCATTAGTATTATTTTGCAGTAGATTAAATTGTGGGTCTAACCATGCACCACAATTCCTCGCTGCAGAGAAAATGAAAGAAATGAAGAGGTGCTTAGCTCTTTCCCTGCCTACAGCAATCCAAAGCATACCAGCCACTGTTTTCTCTGTAGTAGTTCCAGATACATTTCTGCAAGGCTAAATCACGTATTCAGAATCCCGAAGGCTTGTAGGGAGACATTTGAAGCAGGGAACCATCACGGAGGGATAGGCTGAGCACTTGTTCCTACATTATTGCCTCCCATTATTGCCTTATACTGTTCAACAATATTAAAAATGTTGAGTTTTTGTGCAATTACTTTATACTCCCTTCAGTACCTAAAGCGCACACACACCTTACACTGACAAAAACCTTTGAAACATGCCCTAGTAGGAGAAGAAGTAATGATACACTAGCAGTACAATCTTGTACATCTTTACCCAAAAGTAAGTTTCTCTGAATTCAGTGGGGCTTATATATATGGATATATGATAATGACATTGATTGTAGCCTAAGAAACAAAACTTTAGGGCTTTTGTTTAAAACAGACTATAGCATAATATATATGACCTAATCCCTCCACAGCCTTCTTCCGAACTCCGAGTCGTGCCAATCTATCTTACCTGAGTCAGCTGTGGTTGTCCTCCGGAATCTGCCATCTGAAAGAGGGAACCACAACCATAAATGGGGAGCAACTTTCTACAGAGCGGAAGAAGTTATCAGGCTGAGGAAGGGGAAGGGCTCTAGGTTTAGTTCTGGTGGCTGCCAAGGATAACTCTTCAAAAGAGGGCAGACTTTTTTAGGCAAATATTCTTGGAAAGTATGGAATGAAAGGAAAACAAAGGATGAAGAGAACATGAGAGAGAGAGAGAGAGAGAGAGAGAGAGAGAGAGAGAGAGAGAGAGAACAAGCCTAAGCTAAAATTCAGAGGAAAAAACTGCCTCTACCTTTCCCTGCAAATAGAAAATCTATGGCCACAAGAATCTATCCAAATTTTATGCTATATAAACCAAGAGCTGATGGGTGATGGGAACAAATAATAGGATTTAGGCACTCTTAGGAATTGCAACAACTCTGTGAGTTTACAGGGATGACAGGACAGGGAGGAACGGAGAAATGAGAGCAAAGTGATGGCCTTGCCTAGAGAAACATGAAGCAACCAGTGTCGTGGACATAGGTAGAGCTGAAAGCTGCTGATGCACCCTATGCACTGCATGGAAGGTGGTCTTAAAAGGCATTGCTTACCTTAAGGAAAGAAGTCTGGGTGGGGTCTAGTTTGGAATTACACTCCACCTGGCAAGAGAAAGAAAAGGATGGATAGTGTTTGGATCAAGAGCAAACTCAAGCTGAGGCATAATGTACCTTAGTTTCCACTGTACATTCAGCACAGAAAAAGGATGGATTAACGGAACAGAAAGCCCAACAGAACTTTTACAAAAGGATATGGGCATGTCACTCACCACTGCATCTTCGTGAGGAGCCTGGTCTCCTACCACCAGCATCACAGGACACCTGACAGATGGGGAAAAAAGTGTGTCAAAGGCCAAAACTGTACTAAAATTACAAACCTACTTACCTGAGATTTGTTTTTAGGTAAATAGCTTAAGAATTGGGATATCAGAACATGATGTTATATAAAACACATAGTCAGTCCACAGAAAATTTACAGCAAGATAATGCATTTTACCTTGCTGTAAACCAACCAAGCTGTAAAAGAAAAGTGGGCAAGCTTCTGAGTTCCTAAGAATTCTTCGCCATGCCAGATGCTATGCAAAATGGTTGTGTGGAAGGAGTGAGGAAAGGCTGGATTGATGGTAAGGCCACAACTACACACTGGAACAGTTTTAAATTGGTTTCCAGTACTTATTGTGTACTGTGCACATGAGAGCACCAGCACCATGGGAGAATTCTGGCGACTCTTTCTCCCAAGCAGAGAAAGCCAACAGGGAGAGAAATCCCACACTCCATGAAGGAATAGCCACTTTCCAGTCACCTCTGCCATTTGCCTCTTCGTGTCTCCCTCTTTTAGTGAGGAATTTTCTCTGGGAAGGTAAGGAGCTGAGAACATTAGTCATTGCTATAAGGCAGGACTGGGTAGCTTGTGGCCCTGTAGAAGTGTTAGCCCATTACTCTCCATAAGTCCTCACCATCATGTATGGGGCCGTAGGAAGCAACAGAACACATGCTTTGCACATGGAAGGTCTCAGTTTCAATCTCTGGCATCTCCAGGTAGGGTTGGGAAAGAATCCTACTTGAGAGTTGCTGCCAGTCAATGCCAACAATGCTGGGCTAGATGGGCCCATGGCCCGTTTCCACATAAGGCAAATGGACCACCCCCATAGAAGAGGAGACAAGAGGGAGAAGAACAGAGGGATCAAGGGATGGGTGGAGCCGTGAGTGATTTCTATCTCCCCCCTGCAGACTGCCTCTACCTGTTGTTCACTGAGCTATGTAACATGTAGCTACACTCAGACTCTGGACATCTTTTTGCTCCCATCACGTCCACCTAGAATTCCTGGGGATGAAGCATCCCCAGGATCAGCCAGGCCTGGCTAGGACAGGGGGGCAGCAGGGCAGTTTCCCAGAATCCTCCCTTCACAGGGAGGGCTTGCCAAAGCCACAGCCAGTCTCTGCTGGATGCTTGACTGGAGAAGGCACCTGGCAGCCCCCTTGCCCTTCCTGTGGCTGCATCCACGGAGGCACTGCCAGATCCCGGAACGCAGCCGTATTTCCTGAGCTTGCTTGGCAACTCCAGCCTGCTGTCAACACCCTCCACTCCCAGGGTCTGCTGAACCTAGTTAACAGGCATCTATTTACCTAGGATGTCAGATGTTTATGGGGAACACACGTCCCCTCCTGTCCCTGAGAAACAAATCTCAGGGAGCCTGGGATGGGGCAGAGCCCTAGCCAAGATGTCCGCAGCAACACCCTGTTTTCCTCACTCCGCCAACTTATGTCCTAACACAGGGAGCTGCAAGTGAGAAGGAATTCCTGGAGGAATGACCACAGTCCCTAACATCCAAGATGCCAAAGGTGGGGCCAGAACATTAATTTTTGCCCAGGGTAACAATAGAACAGGCGCTGGCCCAGTTCCCTCCTGAACTTGGCAGAAAAACTAGGCTTACGGCCAAGTCCAACAGAGATGAAAGCCCCATCCCTGTTTCTTCACATTCCAGCAGAGTTGCTGGTGTGAACATGTAAAAGGGCGTGCAGCTGAATCTGTGTACATTCAGGTCTCTGGGAAAACATTCCTCAGCCCAAAGAATAGCTCAGGGTTTCTGAAACAAGGGAATGCACATAGCTGGGGAACTCGTGAGAACTAGGAGATTGAAATCAAGGATATAATGAAGCAGAGTTAATTTCTGGAGGTTTTGGATGTGCATGGGAAGTCCTCAGAGATTTTCTCTAGGTCCTCTTGTTGCCCAAAGAGGAGGGTTCACCTTTCTATTGGAGCCTTCTTGTTCACGCAGGTAACTGGGGTGGGGGTGGGGGAAAACCGGGAGCATAGAATAAATGAATTTTGTGTGTGTGTGTGTGTGTGTGTGTGTGTGTGAGAGAGAGAGAGAGAGAGAGAGAGAGAGAGAGAGATGGGATAGTGGTAGGTACTGGGGCCTTGGGAGTTGACCAGGATACTGGGCCTGTAACAGGGATCCCTCCCCCACCCCAAAAAAACAAACAAACCCATAATAGCACAAACAGTGCACCACTAGCTTTTCTATACTCACATATCTTATGAAAAGTCTATTTTTAGTCTTAGTCTCTCTCTGAGGCAGGGAGTGTGACTTTTAACTCCCTCTTTCCACATCTAGAAGTTATTCACAAGGTCACACCTTTTATTTTGGAGTAATTAATCATGTAAGCGTGTCCCTGAGTTTCAGGGTAAAAAAGTTAGAAAAATGGAGCAGGCTCATAACTAATTAACCCAGAATAAGATAAATTAGGATAAACTGGAATAAATTGGTGAACAAGCAGAAAGAAGAGGAGACTTAAAAAATAATTTTCAGTCCTTTTTCTTAGAGATTCTGATTTCCTGACATATTTTAAAAATGTGGAAAAACTAGAAATGTATGTAAAATGATGCAAACTCACTTTTCAACAACTCTTTCAGTGTTCTCCTATGAATATCTATTGAGTAGTAAGTCCCATAAAGATGAGTGGGACTTACTCCTAGGTCTGTATACAAATGCAGATTTAATCTGCAGGTTCTAGTAAGTGATAATTTTCAACTGCACCTGTGAGAAGCTGCATGCATAGTGCACTAAGCTAGCACAGGAGAAGGACAGCCTTTTTCCTGGTCACCTGGCAACCCATTTCAGGTACATCTTTCTTAGCTCTGGGCTAGGAGATGGTGCAAGTGGAAATAATTTTTACTTCCTGTCTAGTCACTAATACATATTAAAAGTATCTCCACTTGGAAGGCCAAAATAAATTCCTTTGCTGCTTTCCAACAATCCCTTTTGGATGCAACCGTTCAGCCTGAGATGGACACTTGAAAAGTCACCCATTGTGTGGTGCAATCTATGTATGTGTTGGAGAAAGCACCCCTGCTTCACATGCAAGGCACTTACTTGAAGGTAATGTCTCCACCACGTTCCAAGCTCAGGTCTCTGCGACTGTAAGGGGGGAGAAAAAGAGACAATTCTAAGCATCCTTCTTTCAAACTCCTAAGTTCACCTCTCCTTGAATTCCCTTTTTATCGTCCCCCACACCAGTCCCATAATTAATTGTGATGTGAGCCGCCCCGAGGCTTCAGCGAATGGGGCGGCATAAAAATGTTTAAATAAATAAATAAATAGATAGATAGATAGATAGATAGATAGATAGGCTCCCTATATGTTTGTCCCTCTTATTAGCTAAGCTGGATTTTAGAGCTGCTAACAGCCAAGTTTAAAAGGTGTTCTTGTACCTGGAACAGGTAGGTGGGAAGAAAGCATTTGGGAGTTATCCACTTAGCAAGCATCTCCACTCTGCAAACCTATTATGTTAGCACCCTTCAAAGTCTGGCCTTGGCAAACTTACCTATTTCCAGGTCTAGGTATACTTGGCACTTAAAAACAAAAATCAGTTCTCCTGCTGAATCACATGTTGAGCTTAATTCTCTATCATGGTAAAAATTAGGACAATCTTCATATTTCACCAAATTGATTGGCATTTTGTTTACAATTTTGTATGTTAAGCTATGTTTACTAGCTGTAGGAAGGTGTAAAGGGATATGGAAGCCATAAAGTTCTTACAGCCAAGTATATGTTTCACTAAAACAAAAGTACAACCTTATTAGAACGGAAATTCTCCAAACTGTGTGCTGTGAGAAAACTGCAGGTAGAATGAATAAATTCAGGCTTCTGAACACCCAAAGCAACCCATACAGACTAAGCTTCTACCAGTGGCAACCTTGGGGTACCAGGACCCTCTACAAATGCAAAAATAAAACACCTTTACTGGTTCTATGCTTTTTCATAGAACTCCCTAGAAGTTAGCTTTTGAGGCGCTGTATTACTTTTTTGGGCTGCTGCCCCTTTTCCTCTTGGGCAACAACCCTAGTGCTTTTCTTTGTATTAAGTCTATTCCTTTACTGCTAATTTAAACATCCAATGGTACTATTCACTTTGGGAATTACTGATTTAGAGATTTCCATTAACTCTGCAGCAGGGGGACCTCACTGGATGGTACTTTGTCAAATACCCATCCCTCCAAAGCAGGAGACTGACTGCTGGAGCTCTGAATGATTTACCACTTTGACCTTTCCCCCCCTTGCAATCTACTTCAACCGGAGAAAAGTAATTGTGATGTTTTTTCTGCATTGGGCCTGACTGGGCAGGCAGCCTTTCCTGATGCTGCAGAACCACCTGCCCTGGAAGGAGGCTGCCCACTGCATCCCTGCATGAGCCACAGTGTTGTAGGCTTGTTCTCCAACCAGAGGACATACTCAGAATGGTGAGCAGTGCAAAAACACTGTGAGTGTGTTCCTCTAAGGGCAGGAAGTGCTCCCTCTGTCTCAGCTATCAAAGGTTTGGAAAAGGCCTGTGTTAGAGGGAAAGAGCATTCCAGTTATTTATATATCCTTAATATTTGCCCCTCCTATCAGTCATCTGATGCTGCTAAGGCCTAGACCACCAATGTGGCAGGCGCTCCAGCAACTGGGAACCTGCCACTCAGTTTAATGTGGTAACCTAGAGGAGTGGAATTTGCAGCATCATACTGGATAGCAAAAGATTTTCTGGCTCTGGGCTAGCCACCCATCCGGACTGGCCACTGGCAACTTTTAGACAAGCAGAGCTAGAAAAAGCTCCCGGTTTGGGCTGAGTCTTTTGCTGTTTCCATCGTGCTTCCTGGCTCCATTCTGACATGTTCCTGTTTGTTTCCTGGCTCCACCCTGTTTGTTTCAACACACCCCTCGACTCTGGTCTTCAGCTGATGCTGTATTCCCACCCACATCCTGCCCACGCTCACCTGTTGTAGCTGCTCCAGTAGAGCTGAATATTGGGCAAATTGGTTGCATGGCTGAGGATATCCCGCTGCTGTTGCACCAGCTCTGTGTTCTTAGACAGTTCCTCCTGTAGAAGAGCAGGAAAGCGACATTACTGTGGTACCCTGACCCCATTGTGGCCCCACGATCCTGACTTAAACTCCAATATTGCCAATTTTTCTTCTGGACTGTGTTGTTGTGCCTTATACCAGCCTGATCTGCAGACATTAGCAGGGGATTAGCTGATTTCCTCTGATCAAGCTGATATTAAAGGCACAAGAATGAGTCCACAGTGTTTCCTTCTGCTACTTGCTTTATTGTTTATTGTTTTATTGGTTATTGTTATTGGTCATATTGTGTTTCTTTTCCTCCTGTTTCCTATTTATATGATCGTATTTATAATGTATTTTAATTTTTCTATGTTTTATGGTTTGTTTCTTATTGCTATTTATTTTTATCTGTATTTTAAACATATTTATATTGCACTGTGAGTTGCCCAGAATGTCTTTGGCTATGGGAGGGCTTACAAATGCAACAAATAAATACATAATCTGGCAACAATATAAACAACAAACAAAAACCATGCAAAGCAAGCCAAACACTGCTGCCCTGCCCTGCCCTGCCCTGCGCCCTCACCAGCACCATCACTGGCCTGTTGAAACAGATTTTTTTCAGATGCATAATTGAACACCAAATCTAGCAACTCCTTGTTTAGAGAATGGAAAACCATCTTTGTTTTCATCAAATTTGCAAAACAGGCAGTGTGAAATAGGCAGTACAACCAATCAACATGAATAGAAATTAAAGAACATAAAACTGTAAAGTGAGTGGTAGAAACCTAAGTTGGTCCCAATTTCATGGAATCCATGTGAGCTGATAAAGAAGAAAGTGGATTCCATTGTGTGCTGCATTCATTTTTCTCTTGTTTTTTAATACTGTACTATAAAGAGTTATACATGTTGATGATACAGGATCATTGCTTTTATTATTCACCTAAATATAACAAGTCCACTTTTACGGCTACCACTGCATATTTCCAGAGAGTTCCTTCTGTAAGAGCGCTTCCATCTCATTCCACCCTGTCCCCACATCTCTTACCACCTGCTTCACATGCCAAATAGCATCCCTCATTCCTCTCCACTTGCAAACACTTACCTGGCTGAAGAGGTGAGACAGAATCATCTCTGAAATGGAGGATGTGAGGCCAGTCAGCTGAAAAGATAAGCAGGATGAGGTGAGATGGGAGAGAGAGATGGATCCTGCTCTCAGTGAGCCAGATGAGTGTCTGTTTTGGATCAGCGCAGATCCAAAACAGACAGGACTTTAAAAGTATGTTTAGCAGCTATGGCTCCCACCCTCATCACTTTTATTCTAGAGTAATGGCAGAGGGCCTAATCCAGATCTTTAAAGCCTCCCTCCCTTTCACACTAGGGGCCTGTTTCAGATCTGGGCTCTGTGCCCACTCTAGAGTAAAAACAATACAAAGAAAAAGATGCAGCTGCTAAATGCATATTTAAAACCACATCCGTTTCCATCCCTGGTGGAAAGAGAAAGCTCCTTGAGAATGCAATCCTCAACTCCCCATTTGGAACTAAGACCCTCAAGCCCAGGACATTCAATATTAGGACTAGGCTCTGGATTATGCAAATCGTTACAAAGAAAGTGATTTTGAGCATGTGTAGAGTGCCTTTTCTTGGACTACTGAATTACTGGAACTTACTTTGCAAGTACTTGAATTGTTCTTCCATGGCATAGGAATTCACTTTTAGGCAAGCTTTGCCTCCTGCACTGATCTTTTTCAAATTAATATTTGCCCTTCCTCTCAAATTCTCAGTCAAACAATGGGGTCCCAAAACGACCTACTCAAATTCTAAGCAATTTGGTTTTTGGATGGGAAAGAGAGACAGACTTCTTAGTCATTTAAAAGCTTGAGCTTGGTTGGAATTCATGTAAACAAATGCACCAAACTATTAGTATATACTTAAATCTGGAGTGTTAAACTATTTTCAACCCAGCAGCTAAATTCCATTGTGGAAAAATTCTGGCTGGGTCACACGCCAGTGGTAGGTGCTGTCAAAGGCAAAAGGGACAAGGCCAAAATACTAATATAGCTTAAAAATCTTACTGCCTTAGGAGAGATATTTCAACCTTTTACAACAAGAAACAAAAAGGCACAAAAGCTGGAAATCTACCAAATGATTGATGCTCAGGAGAAAAGGGTCAGACTTGGGAGTGGGTTTGGCTGTCAAGGGCAGGGCAACTTGAGGTATCATCCCAAAGGCTGCAATGAGGTTTCAGGAAGGCTGCATTTGCCTCCTGGGTCTGCGGTTCTGCACCCTTAATTTAAATGAAAAGATAATGGTTGGAGTCGATGGGTAAATCTGAGGATCGAAGGGAAGGCTAGCAGTTGGATAGCTCAAGCTGTGGAAAGAAATAGAGAGAGATCTCCTATTGACAGAGATCCCCCATTTGACAGAATGCACACTGTTTTCTCTGCCCTTGTGTTTATATCTAAATGAAAAGCAAAGAACTATCTTTAATTGTATGGAGCAATGACTGGTTTCTCTCTCTGAGCAATATGGCAAAATTGTCACGCTAACGGTCATGGAAGGTATGGGTATGACAGACAGACAGATGCCTCACAGCCTGGTGGACAAGATTACTATAGCCTTTAGAAAAAGAGTGAGAAACAATAAGATCATGCAGCTAACTGCATCAGAGGAACTGGTGTGGCATTTCCAGCAGTGGGTGATGGACATGTATTTGGGAACAGAGGGGCTTTGTCAGCAGTAGGCGCCAACAGCTGATGGGGCAGGAGGCCACAGGGATGCAGCTGGAGGTGCTATACAGTGAACTGCAGAGGAGTGAGAAGGCTGCTGAGTCTGAGGCAGGTGCTTGAAAAAGCAAAATAGGATTGTAAGCCACAACAGAAGGAAAAGGAACGGGAAGGAATGTTCCCTCAGCCCTGTTGGAAGACCAGCTCCATTGGGCTCCTCCTCTCCCTGCCCTCTTTTAAGCTGATCATGACAAGAAATGCTGGAATTTGGATTCATCTGGAATTGCTCCAACTCAGGAATGTGCAGAAAGACACACCAGAAGAGAGCATATAGGATATTATTAAGAGAGAAGGAAATGTGCCATGCCCACTCCTATAAGGTTACAAAATGTGTAGCAAGAATAGAATATTGGGAAAAGGCCAAGGGAAGCAAAGTCACTTGTAGGCTAATAGAAATAGTAAAGCTGAAGACAGATCAGAAGTGGGGAGACAGAGAAGGAAAGAAAAAAGCAGACAGGCAGAGCGTCAGAAAGAGGCACAACAAATATGGAGCAGAGTCTGCTACCCAGTTAGCAATGGATGGTTAGTATTGCTCTCAAATAACCAAGAGTGGTTTGGATGGGTCTGGGGGCTTAAGTATCAATGTGATTGGAAATCAGTTGGTTTTATTACCAGTTTAAATCCACAGTGGTAAGACCTGGTGTGTTCCAGATGTTTGGACTACAACTCCCATAATTTCTGACCATTCATGGTATGAGTATTGTAGTCCAAAGCATTTGGTAGGTTGCCTTCCCCTGTAGAAATATATATTATAGAATCAGGCTAAATATGAGTTGGCAGCCTACCTGTCCCCATCTGTAACTGATTCCCATGTGCATCGCACAGACATGCAACCAGGAGTCTCGCCCACCTCCCAGCCTCACCTTGTGAGCAGCCCAATCCATCCAGCCCTTGGCATTGGGGTCAATGTTGATGAGAACCAAACCCTCCACAGTGTCTGCATGGGAAAGCTGTAGACAAAAATAGAAATGATGCACTTAGTATCATCCTTAGGTTTAACTCCGCAGTTGGCAATTCTTTTATACTGCACCTGGCAATTCCACATGGATGGGTAAGCTTTTCACTTCTCCAAAACTCTCCATCAGGCTAAGTGTTTTGTGCTTTAACCTGATAAAGAGTTCTACAGAACTTGCAAGAACGCACATTTTTATTGAGTGTTGGTTAATCCTGATTGCCTCATTGGATTTTTTTCCTCTCATGGATCAGTATGGTTAGCTTTTTCAAAATGGTATTTTATTGTTGTTTTTATAGTAACAAATAATGTACTTACATCCCATATGTCACTTCATAAAGCAATATTTTAAAGGTTGAGACCAGCCTTGGGGGATATAGATTGTTGTAGTCCATCACTTGTGCAAGGCATGAGGCCAGAGAACACTAGTTTAGGGAAATGTATGGAGGAAGAGAAACCTTTCCAGGCCTACAAGAGCACCAAGGGACTCTTGATGTCCAGAGGTATATGTACCATCCAAATATCAGGTGGTACATGTAACTGAGAATGGTTGCCTTCAGAACCAGCTCGTTTGGCTTTTCGAGGGCAACTGACTTGCTAGTTATGGAAACAGGATGCAGCCTTCAGTGTACTTTTGGTTTGATCCAACAGTGCTTCCCCTAGGCTAATTTTCTTTTCTTTTTTGGCTGAGACCCAATTTGAAGCAGAGAACTGCTTCGTCTTATTGCCATGAAGCCATACTAGGTGTCCTACAGTGCTTTCTTCAAATGCTCAAAGTGTTTCTCGCACATTACTGCACTGGTCCTTACCTCAAATGGACAGGCAGTGTCTATGGAGTGGTTGGAAGGTCAGATAAGACTGAGTTCAAATTGTTACCCTGCCTAGCCTTTCTACCTTTCTACTTGTTGTTAAAAATGGGGCAGCAGAGGAGAAGACGCATGCATACCACCTTGGAGAAAAGCTGAGATATAAACATAATAAATAAGGCTGTACATTTCCTGGCATGCAGCTCAGTCTTGTAGCTAGTATTAGACAAGAGAATAGCTCTCCAGAGGAATCAATGTTGGGTCAAGTCATCCCTTTCTGATAGTTCAGCTCACAAGATAACCACAGCCTCTCACTCTCATAGGGCTATTCCATTTCTGAGGCCTGTTATGATTGGGAGCACTGATTCTCCTGTTACTTCCTGAGGTATGTGGATCACCCCGAGCTGAGGTGATCTGACCACAACCATTTGGCATGCTGAGTATGTATCTCATGTGCCACTGCATGACAACTGCTGGGCCCCAGCCCACTCACACTGTAGCGTGCCAGGATGTATGCGCCAGCTCCAACTCCGATTCCAATGATGCTGGTAAAGCTGTGGGAGGAAGAAAGCAAGAAGCAAGTTACAAATAATCCGAGAAGCAGAAAGTATCCAGTCTCCTTTTTGTTGTGCAGAACAGTTGCTACTGTGGGTCCAGTTGCTACTATGCTTCTTATCTTTACAAACTGTATTGAGGGTACACTTTGCATGTCATGGATTACACTTCTTGATTTCAGGGCCTTTTGGCTTCACTGTTCAATTTCCCCCCCAATCTTTCTCTCTGTGTAGGTAGATATATTTATCTGTCTTTCTACAGAAACATCTATGCATCTGCTAACAGGCGTTAAAACTTCATGCATGCATCTGATGAAAGAGATTACAAAAGTGTAGGCAACCAGAAATCTATTTGTCTGTTAGCCATAATACTCTTTTCTGCTTGTCTTGTAACAACTAAGATGGCTAGTTCTCTGCAACCATAATAATATTAGTAAGTTAGTACCAAAGAGTAAAGTTGAATAGAATACAACTCTTGAATTAGGAGCCAAGAAATTGGGACATATGTTCCATTCACAGCTCAAGTTGGCCAGGACTCAGCAGGAAGCACCTGAGGACCACAACAAGTTTTTTGCACCTCAAGGTCCAAAAATAGCAAAAATTCTGAGTTCTGTCCCTCCATCCCAGGGAATCCTTGGGGCTGGAAACCAGTGAAGGCTGTAGGGACCACCTGGGTTTCATAGATGTTGGAACAAATCTATGTTGGATTTGAACAAATCTATGTTCCAAGGAATGTTGGAACAAATGCTCCTCGTTTCTGTTCCCAGCTTCTGCAGCAGCATGTGTGAAATTCAGGGAATGTGGAATGGCTTTATAGTGCCGTCCTTACTCATGAAAGACACACAGTGCAAGAGGTGCATTCTACCACACCCAAGCATCTCTAGGATGGGAAAAGTTGTGAAGGTGTTGGACTTCTTTCAGGAAACAAAGCAATAACCCATGGAGTAGGTTATAAGGTAGACTCTGTGGGGCCTTAAGCTTCCAAGTGGTTTCCCTTTTTGCTTTGTCATTGTTGTTTTTCATGTAGATGCACATTTTCTAATTTTTGAAACCAGTTCCCTTTGGGGAGATGTTGGGAGCTGAATGCAGTATGTTGTACCCCACTAGAAGACACACATGTACGCATATCATGGCATCCCACTCCAACTCACTTGACGTATTGCAAGATGCAGGGGATCATGTCAGCCAGCTGGTCCAGAGAAGGATACTGGTACCTAGGAAAGGAGCAGAGGTTAGGGGCTGCATTGGACAGCTGGACCTCACCCCCATCACACCCAACAATGCAGGTGGGGTGGGAATGGAGGCTGCAAGGCTCACCCCAGAGGGAAGGCTGGGGCACCCTCCTCCATGCCAGGAGCATCCACATGTATCACCACGAAGTTCTTTATGATCTCTTGCATGTCCTCATAGTGGAAGAGGGTATCGAAGCACGAGTGATCTGGGGAGGTGGGAGTGGGGAGACAAAAGAAGGGGTGGTCAGGCTGCAGAAGGGTAGCTCCATCGGGTTGGAAAGGTGCAAAATCAAATCAGGGCTGACACTATCATGAAGCAGGTGGTGGATGCCAAATGCTGGGCAAAAAAGTTTCCCTGAAATTTTATTTTTACATCAGAGGAATCTATTTGGCTTTTCTGTCTCATAGCACAAGCATGTTTACTCAGAAGACAGGTCTACTATGTGCAAGGAAACTTACTCCTAAGTAGTATGCATAGGATGACAATCTAAGGCACCAAATTGTCTTCAGCTACCCTGACAAAATGGCAACAGATGAGTGAATTCAGACAAGTAGGCAAACTCAACCTGGGGAGCTCCCCAGTTCATCCTTCAAAGAATGCTAGCTGTGTGGAGAAGAGGAACCCGTAATATTCTTAAACACCAATGAGATGATTGGCCCAAGATGGATGGTGGGGGAAATCTGGAACAGAGCACAAATTGCTCTAGAAACAGAAAAGATAATGACAGTCCAATGTATGTTAAGAAAGAAAAATTCCTATAGCTCACTGTGTTTCTCAACCACTTTTCTTTCTAAACATTTAAGTCAATTTTGAAATGTCAAATCAGACTTTGAAACTGCAATCTGAGAGCCTTAATTTCAGGATCTAAATTATCATTTTTAATTGGGGAGAAAAAAGTAGGTATTTTCCAGTACAGGTTTCTCTTTCTAAACAGCAAAAAATACACTTGAACTTCAAAGCAATGCAGGCTACTAAAAGTTGAGTTTCAGGATCAGATGAAAAAGTTCTAAAAGGGAAAAGAAGAAATTACTAGTTTATTTGGCCTTGGCTGTAGAAAGAATGTTAGAATCAATGCTTAATTCACACTCACAGGAGGCAATTAACACTTCTCTTTTCCAGAAGGGGAAAGTAAGCACTTGACTACATATTACATTTGTCTGGTAACAACAGCTCCACCATTTTGCTGTGAATTCAGAAGGGTTACTTGTGGACAGGCAGAAAAGGCTGGAGGGAATACAAATATTATACACACAGTGGAGAAAGAACTGCTGGCAGTATTTCTTCATCCCTTATTTATCTCCCCTTCTTAGCAGCTAATTTTCTCCAGGAGAAGGCAGAGTAGTTGGAGAAATTAGCTGCCAAGATAACAAGAGATAAGCAACTGAAGGAGAAATTCAGCCAGCTTTCTACTTCCCAGGATGAATGTTTTCTGCCATCTCCAGCTCTCCCTGACTGTTGGTGCTTTCAAAGTTCACAGCGGGTAGAGCTTTCATGATGAATGTGTAGCCAAGCTCTGAGGCAGTTAGACTGACTTGCTCAAGACCACCCAGGGAGTTCATGGTGCAGATCCAAGTATCCTGGTCCTGAGATCACCAAGCAATCCAAGCTTCAATTCTGCAGTATTATAAATGTTGCTTTTTAATCCTTGAGTGTGAGTGACGGGATTGGTTGTGACTGGTGAGGTAAGAGGACAGCTAGGAGTGCAGAAAGATGTTCTAATGGATTGCAGGATTATTTGCAGGTCAGCAAAGGCTTTTGAAAACAATTTTTGAAGAACCTGATCTACAAGCCCCACCACACGTGTAACTGGCTCAGTAGTAACATAAATGCAGATTTGCTCTTTTGCACACAGGTAATCTGAAAGTATGGTTCATGGGGTGCTGTAGATAATCATCTCTGTGTTTTGAGTTGCCTGCCTCCATTTGCCTTCCCCTCCCACTGTACCCTGCCTCCACACTTGGCTGGTGAACTTTGAAGTTCTAGTCAAACACAAAATCATTCTTGGATATGCACAGACACACGTGGGATAGTCTTGGCCCCCGTGAAACAAGGAGTTCCTTGGATTCTTCCAAAATGACAAGCTCCTTTAAACTCTTGAACTCTTTTGTACTGAAAACATCTAAGTTCTTATTTGGAGTTGCAGTCCTTGGAGAAATCCCAGCCTCTCCCACACCCTCCCCAACCAAGTGGGCATTCAAGTCTTACGATTTTGTCCCACATCATGGTAGGTGAGGATCGCTGGACGTTTGGGCTTGGGTGTTCCATGGATAGTGATTGTCACGATCCCATAAGGTGTCTCTACCGTGTGTTTCTGTGGAAATTTAAACAAAGACACACACAAAGAGAAGAGTGAACAGATGTGGCACTACAAAGCTGGACCTGTGCAGACAGTTGCCTTCAGCATTAAGTGGACTGGAGGAAGGCTCCTCCCTGACCTCCATGCATAGATGACTCCTTGTGAGCAAGATGTACTCTTGGTGTAAATTTGGACCTAGAAATTGCAGAGTCCCCAATCACATGAACATCAGACTTGCAGATGGATAGATTCCATGCACAAGATGCCATCTGTATGTGATCCTGCTCTACTTTCTAGGTGTGCCTTTATCACTGTCAATGTCTTCACAGTGAGGACATAGTTTGCATGATACTTGTGCATGCCCCATGGGTGAGGAAAACTTCAGAACAGGACCACAGTTGGTAACTGAACTGCTGGTAACTAAACAGGTTACATACTGGGGTTAAATGTTCCTTAATGTAGGCCTCAAGCAGAATTTCTAAACCATTGGCCATGCTGACAGGGGCCTCTAGGAGCTGAAGACCAAACTATCTGGAGACACACCTTCTCCCCACCCTGACCTAGACTATATTTGAGGGGCAGTGCATGGCTAATTCACTTTGCCCAAATACAACAAATGACAAGCTGTTTGATTTCACAAAGTCAGGCAGCAAAAAAGCCAGGACTTCTATAATCAATTTCACTTAATTCAGCTCAGCAGGTTATCAGTTTTGCAGTCCTCTGGCAGGAGGACCAAGTGCAGCTGCAGTCAGGGCCCCTAGGCCTGTAACAGTAAGATAGTGGAAGGGGCATTGATGGTAGAGAGATCAGGAAATTGTATTTGCTGATATCCCCATCTCTTGTAAAGCCAGGATGGATAACTTGTAGTCCTCCAGATGGTTTGCCCTATAATTCACACCCACCCTAACCAACACAGCTAATGGTGGGAAATGATGGGAGTTGTGTGCTAGAAGATCTGGGAGGCCACCTGCTATCCACCCCAATAATAAAGTCTGGGCAAGCTAAGCACCCACCTCCAGGCCAGCTGGAAGTGAGCACAGCAGGGACATAAGAGGCTTGTGGTAGCTGCTGGGCATCCAGTGCTCCTCCAGCCCCTCTCCTGGAATTTTAATGCTGAGCAAAGCGAGCAGCAGCATCTGCTGTAACAGTGCCTACACAAATGGTGAGCATTGAAGGTAACTTCTTAAGAAGTTGGTGCGGCAACTAAATGTTGATTGAGTGCACTGAATAAGGAGAAAGGAGCTGAGAGATTATGGATTCAGGGCTCCAGGGTGAGCCAAGTTTGGAAAGGGAGAAAAGATTAAAGTCACTGCTCATTGGAAGAGCTGAGAAAGAGAAGTAGCAGAGGGAGAGAGGCTGTGTCAAGCTTTCAAAGCTGGAAGGTCCCATTCTTGACCCTGTTGGAAGGGTGAGAAGAGAGAGGTGAGCATGGAGGGCTTTTCCTTAAGAGGAAAGTTTCTCTGACCCTGTCTATACCTTTGGAAGAAAGCCTAACATTAAACTACAGGTCTCTCTCTCTTATTTGAGGCCCACCGTGCTGTGAAAGTCTGGACCTCCTCAGAAGAATTGTTTAGCCTCAGCTGGCCTTCAGACAGCAGGTAAAAACAGTGTACTTTTGGCACAAATCATAAACACTTCTCCCTTTTTCCTTTTGTTTTATACAGGCTACTGTTATGTTAAAGTTTAATCTAATCTTACTTTGCCTTATTGGCTCTCCTGCATTCTGTTTTGTTTTACTGCTAGAGGTTTTATTGCTTTTATGTTGAAGTTATGTTAACCACTTTGGAGGGGCCCCCTACATAGATGAAAAGGCTGGGTGGAAAGATCGCAATTAAGTAAACAAGAGGACTCAGAATTAAATGTATGGTATATCCTCACACCACCACTGCCAACAGGAATATTCCAGTTAAGGATTCCAGATAGCTGCTTGCTGCAAAAGAAGACATTTCATACCCCCTGATACTTTTCCATTTTTCTTTTCCAAGTTGTGCTCAATATTCTGTGGCAATTAAGCATGCTAACTCCTCATTAAGAACTTTTTACTCTTTTGTATTTTTTTAAAAGGAAAAATACACGCCTACAAACCTCAGAGGTTTGAGCACAGTAGCTGTCATTTGTTTTGTTTTTGTTTGTGGGTTTGTTTGTTTTTTGGCACTCACCACCTCAGTTCACTATTAGAGGCAGTAATAAATAAAACTAAACTTGTGTAACTCATCAAGCAGAAGTTAGAAAGCTAACACCTGAGAAAGTTTCTGAACTCAAGTCTCCTAGATTCTGTTTATAGTTCTGGAATGGAATGTGAATATAATAGGGTCAAGCACTAGAACTGGCAAGCATTTGGTTACAGATCTCTCTCATACTGGGTAGCACTGAATGAACCTCATTCTCACAGCCTCAATTCCTTATCTGGAAAATGGGCACAGGAATGACTTAATTTGTATGGGAGCAGACTGGTGTAATAAGACTTTTGCAAGCAGGAAGCATAGTATTTGCCATTTTAAGTATGCAAAAGCTTGTTTCCTATTTTACAGCTCTTGTGTCATCTAGCTTCATAGTAACCCTATAATTAATATTCCTATTTTACCAGTTGGGAAACAGAGGCCCAGAGAGGGTGTCTGGTCTAAGATCACCCAATGGGGTCATGACTAAGCAGCTGGAGTGGCCACCCTTTTAGCTATGTGATGTGCAGTGATCCCAACAGGTGTGGCTTTGCTAAACAGGGTGGTGCCACAGAGTTGTCAACTGACCAGATAAACAGCCTTGGCTGCTCCTAGGCCTTTAAAGCTACTTGATTTGCAGGAATGGATGGCAAAGCTTTCCACAGCATTCAGAAAAGCTTGATCACTTTTATACGTGTCTGTTTTATAAGCACAGGTGTTTGTAACATTTGGCAACCCCAAAGTACAATGATGGTGGAAGCTATAGCGACAGATACCCTGTATGCTATGCAGCTATTTAAGGTCATAGGAATGAAACCAGAAATTTAATTTAAACCTAGTTCTTGTTTCTCTCACCGCATTGGTCCATCAGCAATTGAACCGATAAGCAGATACCAAACAAAAGTAATAGTTAGACCGCCACTGGGGAGAAAGGTACATGCTACAAATCAAAGTCAACAGACAAAGCACAGGCTGGGCGCAGAGCCAGGATTCCTGCGGAGAGTTGCCACTTCTCCCCCCACCCCTGCAGGGCTCTTGACTGTTCTGCAGTTGCATAATGGAGAGATTTGGGTGAAGGCAAGTGCCTCAGGAGCACAGCACATGACCTGCATGCCATGCAAAAGTCCCCCCCACTCCCCAGGTAAGGCTGGGAAAGATCTCTGAAGCCTTGAACTGCTCAGCCAGATTTATCAGTAGCTTGACTTGGTACAGAGCAGCTTTCCCTGTTTAATTAAAACAGATGCCAAAGCCTTTGCACCCTGTTCTCTTACACTGCTTCTCTAGAGTTCATTTTCCCCCATGGGAAGGGAGAAAAACCTTGGTGCCTTTTATTTTTTTTTCCCCCCTGAGGGCAACTTTCTGTGCCTTAATGACTGTCTGAGTGACAGTTCTTTGACAGGGACAGTTTTCTCTTTGGGGCACCTTCAAGCTGGGGGAAAGGTGTCCTTGCACAAGTTCTACTCAAGCCGCTCAAGAAAAGAGGCAACAGCCATGGGAGCCACTTGAGAGGAGTGGGAGAATGAGGATCTTGGAAAAATTTTGTGGCCAGGCTTCTGCAAGCTTGGGAGCACCAGTTTGGGTCCCATGAATAAGATGCAAAGGATGCAGTGGGGATGACATTACCTGGCCTTGTTCCTGCAGAAGTTTGGCTGCTATCAGTTCCGCATCCTAAAACACAGAGAAAGAAAGGGGGTGGGGGTGGGAGGGGGAGACACAGAGTGCAACAAGGTAGGAAGTAAGCAAGGAAGAAAAATCAGAGTTAGGGGAAGGGGAGGAGGAGGGGGAAGGGGTGGGGGGGAGCTGAGAGTGCAGAGTGAGTTGCTGCTACCAGAGACTCTTACAAGTGGAAGGGGACACAAGCAGACCTGAACGAGGTGGATTTACCGGAACCCTGACTATAGAGCTACAGCTTAGTTATGCACTTTTCCATGGTTCTAGTTGTGTGTTGTCTCGTGACACTCAACTGGAGGGTGGGGGTCAGGAGCTGCCATTGAGAAAGGGAAAAGTTTACCCCATTCTTGTTTTCAGGAGGAAGATGACCATTTAAAATTAAGGGTAGGTAATGGGATGCTCTCCACAGGTTTTGGACTACAGCTCCTATAAGCCTTAGTCACTCTGGCCAAGCCAGTGATGATGGGATTTATAGAGGGGATCATGCTGGCTGCCCTGATTTAGACTATACGACCCACCCACAGTTTCCACAACCTGTGTAAATTGGCAAGGACCCATAACATCCTACGAACATCTGTTAATGTCCACCCCTTGGTTTAGATAACACCATAGATTATCAATCTGTGTGTGAGAAGTGAGTAATGCCTGGCTATAAGATTAATTCCTCCATCATTTTCCACACAATGGCTGAGCTACCTTTGCATAAAGTGCACTCTGAAGGTGGCCAGTGTTTTTCCACCCGCTGCTCCTCAGATAGGGCTCCCATGCCGTTACTAGCTGCAGAAGTTCAGTGGTGGTGCTGGGAATTGCTTTCCCTATCACTGCATGTGCACACTATGGAAAATGGCCCAGAAGTACTGATAGGAATTAAAAAGGAAGGGACTGGAAATCCTAAATAGTTGACCTTTGTGGACTATCATGAAAGCAATGTTTAAATTTATATCTAAATAGATGGCCTGCAGATTAAATACTTTCGCTACAGTCAGATCAAACACTGTACACTATGTTTATGGATTCGCAGTACAGCTTCACAAGATTACAATAGACTGGTCATGTTTTGACTTAACTCTTCAATGGCATTACCTGGGTTAACTGCTTTATCACCAACATTTTCTCTGTTGACATGGCCCAAAGCAGGACACGTCTGTCTGTTATTTAGTTCAGTTATATTCCATCCTTTTATCTGGAAAGCTCAAGGCTACAAACAGGCTAAACATGCCAAGTTCTTTCAATATTTCCTCACGGGGCTTTGTTTCCAGTCCCCTTGATCACCTTCATTGCCATGCTCTGAACTTTCTTCATCCACTTTGTCATCGTCTTTCTTGAAGTGTGGTGCCCAGAGCTGGACACAATACTCAAGATGGGGCCTAAATGGTGCTGGATAGAGGGAAACCATTTGGAAGCTATACTTCTATTAATTGCAGCCTGATAGAGCATTTGTTTTTTTCCAGCCATATCACATTGTTGGATCATATTCAGCTTGTGATCTACAACAATTCCAAGATCATTTTTGCTTGTTGAAAGAAGTATCTCCTGTCTTGTAACTATGAATTTGGTTCCCTTTTCCTAGGCATAAACCTTGGCATTTGTCCCTATTGAAGTTCATTCTGTTGCTTTCAGCGCAGTAGTCCAGCTGATCGAGATCATTCTGTATATTGTTCTGTCTTCCAGGGCATTAGCTATCCCACCAAGTTTAGAATTTAGGTCCTGTCTCCTTTTCATTTATTCCCTACATACCACTAAACTGTGCTCCCACCCCACCCTGCCCAAGAACTTGTATTAACTTACATTAATTTAGCCATCAGCTGGAAGAAGTTCTGTTATCCTACTGCCAAGTAAGTCCAGATGGCCCAATCTGAATGGAACCTGCTGTGGTCCCAGCCTGGGATGGGTGGGTGCCCCATGCCTGCAGTTCATATTACGAAACAGTGATTCATCTCGTCCTTGGGTCAGCCATTGGCCTTTGGCCCACAGTTCAGCCAGATACAAGAAAGGACAGATCTCCTGCATAACTCTTTCATAGTTATGTAGCAAAGGGAGTTTCAGCAGGTTTGGCTTGTCATGCAAGCCTCACCTGCTGCCATTTCCTCTTCCAAACACCTCTGAAAGATGCAGGAGACCTGTCCCCTTTTGCATCCAGCCATTTTAAGGGCCAGATGACCACCCTGCCATTGCCACTGCTGCCTACGTCCTTGTCCTCTCTTGCTTTGAGGCAGCTCTGTGCGGCCACCCACAGGAAGCGCACCAGGCCTCCATCTTGCCATCACCCACATCCTGGGAGAGGACCGGGGAACCGGCAGCTACAGCAAAAGGGAGCTGTGGCAGCAGGGCTGGAAGGCCCCAGGGAGAGTCAGCAGTGGGGTGCCTGCTCTGGCAGGTGTCTAACAATGCCAGCCCCAGATGCAGACCCAAGCAATGGCTCTAAGAATGGTGGCTGGTTTTCCTGACGTACTATGTAGTTGTGTCTTGGACAAGAGCATGCTCTGTAGGTATTAGCAGGTGATCAAGTCTACTTGATCACATACTATGACAAGCCTTTCCCACTGATTTCTGCATGTCCCAATGGCTGTTAAAGGCACAAGAGCAGGCCAAGCTACAGAGTGATTGCAAGTGGTCTACTATGCCATGAGCCCCGAATTGCTGAGAGGCCATTTACCTCCCCCCCTCACCCAGCTGCCCATGAACACCTGCTAAAATAAAAGCACAGGGGCCCTGGGGATCGCTGTTGCATCTGATCCCCCTGGCTTAGCCTGCGTTTTGCCCATGGGTGCTTTACCTCCTGCTGCCCCCTACCCCCATTTCTCTGTGCAAAGTTTATTTTCCTGAAATGCCCTCCTCACCCCTGTTCACGCATCCTTTTTTGCTAACTGGGATGCCTGCAGAAAACAGAGTCCTTTACAGGTTTTAGAGCTTCTATACATTAGCATAAGAACATAAAAAAGCCATGCTGGTTCAGACCAAGGATTCAGCTAGTCCACAGGGTCCCTCAAGCAGGATGGCTGCAAAACCTCCTCCTGCCCAAGATCTTCAGAAAATGTGTGCTTTTTTGTTTGTCCTGTGAGTCTGAGCCCCAGATCTTCTTGGTATCTGGCACTGGCCCTGCAAAGCAGGACTTTTCCGTAGCCAGCCAGCAATGATCCATTACTGATGCTTCAGCAAGGGGATGTGTGACTGGGATTGTGATATGGCATTTGATGTGAATCCTGTGATACTGTGGCACCTCTGTTATTAGTGATGAATGGGATATGGATATAAATCTAACTATTTTGTTATGTTTACTGTCTTGTAGGGTTCTGTAAGTGTCCTGTAAGTGTCAATGGACTTTTGTGCCTTCCCCAGTGGAGCAACAGGTGCAGCTGTTGCACCCCAGTCTGGCAATATTTTTAAAGGGACTGCCTTTGCCCATGGGTGGAGTTCTGACAACCCCATGGATCTGGGTCTTGGCAAAGGTGGCCATTTTTAAGCCATGGGGAAGAAGGCCACAGATTATGGGTAAAGCTCGGCACAGAAGAAATCCTAATTCCTTACACCTTCACTCTGAAACTGTGCAGGATCAGGTGACAGGAAAGGTGCTGATCCACTAGCAAGGTGGTCCCTGTTAGGACAGGCTTGGCATAAGGCAGCTTTGCATGTATCTGCTCTGCGGACCTGCCTCAGCTGGAGGAGAGCAAAAGGGAAAGAGGTGAGCCTGGACAGCTTAGGGAACACTGGTGAGAGGGGAGAAGAGTGGTGGGCAGGGTAAAGAGGACAAGACAGTAAAGAATCGCCCCTCTGCTAACCTTGCCCGGATCAGGTGCTCCTGGGGCTCGCAGCAGTGGCTTCTCCTCAGTGATCTGTACTTCTTGGAGTTCCGTCATGGCACCTGGAGCAAGAGAAAAGACATAAATAAACATCAAGCAACACATTGAAATCCATATGCACTGATAGACAAATGGCTGAGGGTACAGAGTTTGTCATAAATATGCTTCCCGGCTGTCTGCTATAACTTTGATCTACTTTGCATATGCACTTTCCTCAATTGACAATTGCACCTTCAAGTGCTGATCACGGGAATGAAAGAGCCATCCTTGAGCTAGCGGCAACAGATGGAACTCGCACGTCACCCAGTTTCAGCATGAATGCCACACAACGTGGCATATGGCGATAGGTTTAGCTGCCAGCCATTAAGTAATGAGAACATCGAGGAATGCATGTGTGAACCTGGCCTAAACCAAGAGGTAGCCTGTGTTGTCCATCAGGAATGTACTTTGACATATAAAACCTGAAATTGCCAACAGGCCTCTTGTAGTCCAGTGCAAATGCAGGACAGAAAGTAGAACAGATTCCCTGTTAAATCAACTGCTCACTTGAATGTTTTTCCATTTATAGATGCAGGAAATATACAAATACAACACATACTGATACACCGTGCAAGTAGCCAAAGTGTGTGTTCTACTATGATAGTTGAATGTCCATAACCCTTTTTTTCTTCTTTTTTGCTGTGCTTTACCAAGTTTGTGACTGACATCCCTCAGAAAAATCCTAAGGCAAAGGATGATATTACTTTCACTTTACTACTGCAAAGGAACCCACAAAGTTACAATGTGTGCTTGTCATGAAAGGGAGGCCACAACATATGTTGCCACAATATATCTCAAATGGTCTCATCTTGTGGGTCTGGTAGTTCAGACTTTAATGTCTTCAAGTCTTATGTATTAGCTGGTTTGTTTGATATGCTGTGTCACTGAATAGGATCGAGATTTAGTCATTCTTTGTGCAGACCACTGAAATCAATGAGACAAGCATGACTGAATCTGTGTCATTACTTTTTAGGTGATGCATCTGGTGCTGATTTATGTGGTTGCTTTTGGTCTGTAGCTGATGCAAGAAAAAACTATTTCCCATTTTACAGGTAGAGGAACTGAGGCTTAGAGAGTGATGGTTTCGGGAATGGCTGCACAGTGAATAAAGGGCAGAGGTGACCAAGTAAGTGCAGGTCTCCTAGGTCCAACTCCTCCTCTTACGTATTCAGGTGTGACTTCCTATAATTGGCCACTCCTTAGGAAGGTCAGCAAACCACCCAGTAGTTCTTTCATCTTAAGGGCTCCAGTGAAACAGTGCGCAATCTGAGAAGTGCAGTGTGGAATTCCCTGCCGTATTCCTGTGGGTGTGCTGTGCAACTTTCATCCACAACATTTCAAAGAACGGGGGCTACACCCCTCCAGTTGTACAATGCAGGTGGCTTGCATCAGCACCAGAATGGCTTCAATCAGCCCTGAGGGTGGTATGTAGCATCAGCCTTGTTCCTTCCTGCTGAGAGTAGGAGATGATCAGGCACCACAGCTGCTAACTGCTGTGACATGCTGAAGAGAGCGTAACATACAGATTACCTATAATATGGATGTTTTACACTCTGTGGTTTTGTTCTTTCCCAAGATCTAAACCAAGGGAACCCACATTTTTATAACAAACACTACTAAAACCAGTGACCTATAAAATTATGGAGGAAATCCATATTTATGTTGCACAATTTATCCCCCCCCCCCAGACTTTGACGGGAAAAAAGGCAATGAACCTAAGGCATGACTGGAAACAGTCCACAACTCCCACCTGAGTTCTGAGATTTTCTCAGATTTGTGCTAACCATAATTTCCCTCATACCTTCTCTCCTAGGACATATGTTTAGTGACTAGAAAATTCTAGTTGAGGAGATGTAGAACGTTTTTCCCACGCATGGTGGATAAACACCAGTGATTTAAATAAATAAAATTAAAAATAGGGTTTAAAATCCTTTATACTGCAGTTTAAAAGATAGCCAAATAACCCACTTTAAAATGAAACATGAACTGAATATGAACAAGCATGCTTGCAGTTACACTTACAATCTCTTAAAACTGGCCACAGCTATTTATCAGACTGGGTTGCAAGGGTGGATAATTTGTGACTCTCTGAATGTTTTGCCTTACATCTTCCATCATGCCTCTCCATTGATTATGCTGGCTAGGGCAGACGGGAGTTGTAAGCAGAAATATCTGGAGAGTCATACATTCCTCACCCCTAAATTGAAGGTTGCTCTTCAATGGAGAAGGAGAAGGAGAAGAAAAACGTCAGAGACCTGTGGTTAAATATTATATACATTATAGTGTTGTGGGCTCCTACTGAGCCCAGAGGCTAGCAAGTTACTGTAGATGTAGGATGCCACCTTGTCAGAATCTGGGTGATCTTGTCCTCCTGTTTTATGCCCTCTATCAATCTAAGCTATTCAGTGTATTCAGTTCTTAAATTATGAATATGTATAAATCTACTAACCAAAAGCACAAAATTTACTTTCCAGTTTGTTGGAAAAAATTGTTTTGCCTAGCAACTACCAGCCTATGAATATGGAAATCTCTGAACAGTTATAGTTCTATGATACTTGTTTACCTGGAAGTTAATCTACTTTGTTCCATAAGAGTCACTGTCACATAAAAGTGCATAGGGCTACTTCTGCAACTCTGATGTAACTTATCTTGTTCAGTATCCTCACACATGTATAGAGACTAAGATAAATTATATCCTTTTCCTGACAGATATAATTCTTAAGTGTATGTGAGCAATGACCACACATTCTGGATTATGCTCCTAGCTTATACAAAGACTTGACTGAGTTGCAAAGCAGTTAGCTGAACTTATTTATTTATTTATTAAAACATTTCTATGCCGACCCATTCACCAAAGCCTCGGGGCGGCTCACAACATAAATTAAAATACAAAAGATAATAATATAAAATAAGTCGCCCTGGCCAGATAAAATAAGCGAATAATATTAACAGTTAAAATGACGCTTAAATAAAAAGGTCTTTGCCTGGCGCCGAAAAACAAATAATGACGGCACCAGGCGGACCTCTCTGGAAAGCGCATTCCATAGATTGGGCGCCACCACAGAGAAAGCCCTCCTCCGAGTACCTACCCTCCTAATTTCTTTCACGGAGGGTTCCCGGAGAAGGGCCTCTCCCGCAGATCTCAAGGGGCGGGCGGGCATAGATGGACATAAGCACTCCTTCAGGTAACCAGGACCCAAGCCGTTTAGGGCTTTATAGGTCATCACCAACACCTTAGGCAGCACTGAGCCCAATGGGACAAGTTAGTCATGACTTAAGTTCCATAGTTTCAATGTGTGCCAAGTGCAACTAACAGAGAACATCTCTCTACAAATGTTTGCTCAGAAGGAAGCCTTGGTGAGCTCAGTGGATGTAGCTCCCTGATAAGCGAGCATGTTCTTAGTCTGGACCCAACCTATTATGTAGGGGTGACCAGACTTGCTCAATGGAAGAGCCACATATGGTAAATGTCAGATGTTTGAGAGCTGCAAGATGGTGCCCATGGGTGGCAGCAATGGGTGGCAAGTGGGTGGCAGGCGGTGAGCTGCAAAATAAACTTAAAGAGTGGCATGCAGCTCTTGAGTCTCCGTTTGGCCACCCCTTTGCTACAGTATCCAAATAATTTACACATGCTTGTTCAGGAAACAGATGAATTTCAAAATGGGAAATTCGGTTTAGATCAATTATCTATGCCAGTCTTTTATTTTTAATTTAGCTATCCAGTCCCGATCCAGGAAAAATATCACAGGTGAAATGGCCCTAAGCTGGAAAATTCATTAACCTGGAGAAATTCCTCTTCTGGGCAAGACACGCTATATGCATGCAAGAATATTATATGTTTACTTGGAAGTAAGTCCCTCTATATTGAGTGGAGTTTATTCCCTAGTACATGTGTTTAGGACTACAGCCCTCATTACTGCAAATGCAAAAACAGCATCTGAATATGTGAATATACTCCAACTGTAAACACAGCCTGAAATAGCTATGGAAGTTTTCTCTTGACTGCTGGACCTGTGACCACTCGTTCACACATGTGCATCATCAGTTGAAGCTGCAGTCCACCAGTGAGGACTAAACTTTGCTCTAACTCATGGGGCTGTTGTGAGCATATAAAGGCAGAGATAGTGAAGTCCTTTGCACAGTTCTGGAACACCAAATAATGAGCTGCACTGAGTTAAGAGGTGTGTTCCTGTATATCCAGCCAACATTCACACATCCTGATTTGTCTGAATATGAAAAATGGAACGGATTTCTCTCCTGCCCCAGGGAATCCTAAGAAACGAGAGATGTGTACACACACACACACACACTGAACCATAGTCACAAGGATCTTGATGCCAAGAATTCTTGCACTGTATAACTGCCCTTTCCAATACAAAGCAGAAAACATGTTTTGACAAAAAACACATAAGAACAGAAATGTGGGGGTCTCCATGTAACAGGGGCAGTATCTCCATCTGTTCCCCCAGTTTCTCACTCCCTGGAGATAATTTCAAGAACACTTACATACCCTGTCATGCCACAAAGGGAGTTCTGGACTGGGACAGCTTGCAAGAGAGTGGAGCGATAGGGGAAGTGGACAAAAAAGCACCCCTCCCCTTTTGCTCCTATCAGCTAGGTTACTTCCTCTTGCCTGGGTGTGGGTCTTGCTTGCTCCCCCATCATCTGGGGCTGCTCTGTCACTGGCATCAAGTCCGACTCCCTAGAGCCCCATAAGAGTAGGCAGCTCCCTGTTTTCCCAGGCTCCACTTCTCCCCTACCCCTCCTCTCCCTCCCAGGTGCTGTGGCTGGTTTCCATTCTGAGCCCCATCCAAGGATCCCCCTCCTGGGCCATAAATAGCTGTTTTGATCACCATGACATGGGCAGTGATCCAGTTCCCTGGGAGCTCCTTGCCCCTCTGGGGCCCTTCACAGGGCTTGCAAGGAACCAGCATCCAGAAGAGATTTCCTCCAGCCACTGCAGAACGAAGGCCCACATATATGAGAAAGAGAGCTTCTATCTCCACTGCCCTCAGAAGGCAGGACTTAAACCACTCTCCCTGGTTCCAAGGATGCCAGAGAAGGAAAAGGGGTTTATAGAGCTAACTGGAGGGACTTGGGATCCACACAGCAAAAAGAATAGGCAACCTCAGTTCTGAGAAAGGAGGCGATTGCTGGCAGAGCACAATGAAGTCTTTTCTTTGGGCTCCTAACATTGGAAATTCTGGGCTCCTTGCCTCATTTTCTTCTCACTGCCCCTTGTTGCTACTGTTTTCCTTTTTCTTCTTCTTCTTCTTCTCTACTTTGGCAGGAGTCCAGTGGTTTTGCCAGCTGAATGGCAAGTCCAAATCCAACAGGTGCAGCTTGCCTAGCTCAGACCTGTTTTGCTAGAAGAAAATGTCACCTGTTGAATCTTGGTCTGCTAAGACACTCTTAAAGGCACAAGAGACCCAATAGGAACAATGTTTTCATCTGCTGTGCAAGACAGTGTGCAAGAGAACTTCAGACATTTGAGTACTAAACAGTAAAGAATGAGAAATCCCCTCACTCCCCACATACACTGATCAGAGTTTGATCCAGGGCTGAAGAGGCATTTGAGCAGATTTCTCCAATCTGGTGCCCTCCAGATGTGTTGGACTACAACTCTCAGCATCCCCCAGCAAGCCATGTAGTCCAACAGATTGGAGGTGGTCACCCTCGGGAAAGAAAAAATTACCTTAATCCTACCCAGAGTTAAATTTTTATTTAATTCTTCCATGACACCCCATCAAATTGCAATTACGGAATATTTTTAAACATTAGGCACTATAAGTGGTGAGATCCCAAGTTGTATGTGGTCAACCATGTGCTTGTCACCCCCACCCCTGCATAGTTTTATGGTCCTGAGCTGGTGGTCAAAAATGGTTTGTAGCATCTAAGATGGGATAGCTGTTAGTGGGTTATGTTTGGCTTAGTGACTCAGAAGGCCTGCACAATATATATAAATGGTAAGTTGAATTATGCAACACATGGGAGGAGCATATTGTAACTAAAACCAGTTCCTGCCAAAACCTTCCCTCTGTGCTTGCCCCCACAACCCAAATATCACTAGACCTTTGGGCTTGAAGGTGTGCAAATGACAACAAGGATCCCTGGATTTTGCATTTTTTGCCTAGTACAGTCAAGCAGCGAGACAGCTCACAGGCCAGTGCACTCTGCTGCTATGCAGCTGCGGATCAGCGCTCGCTCTCTCTCTCTCTCCCCCCCTCTCCCCCCCTCTCCCTCTCCCTCTCTCTGTGGGAAGGGAATCCAGTTTTTCACTTGTGTCCCTGCTGCATGGCAAGGAAGTGGGAGGCTGTGGGGCTGTTCTGCAGGGACCAGAAATCAATCCGTGTAATGCGGCCACCAAGGAACAAGCCCCAGAGAGCTTCCAGATTCCAACCCAAGTACGTGCCAAGTTCCCCTGGCACTGACACAAAGAAAGGGAGCTGCTGAGAAACAGAGACTCACACCTGCAGCCGAAACCACATGAATGCTCACTCACCAGACTGGCTCCTGAAATACATAGCAAAACTTTCATCCACCTGGCTTCAGGATCTAGACAGCTGACCCAGCGACCCTGGCCCTAGGAATGGCCTAATATTCCCCTTCCAGGACCATGAACCCAACATCTCAGGGGTCAGCATCAGACTTCATTTCCTGCAGCTTTTTCTCTGCTCTAGCCCAGCCAGGAGTCCCAGTGCTTCCAATCTAGCATAGCTCCGTGAGTCTGTCCAAATGCCACAGCTAGAACTGCATCCAGATCTCTCCTGCATCAATCCCCTTTTCTATCCCAAAGGGACCCCCACCAACTTTATGCCTTTCATCACCTTGTTCCCCTTCCAAAGAACAGAAGGACCACAGATGAACCTAGGAAACCTCCCTCACATGTCTCAGAAAATTCAGGAGTCCTGGTTTGGTTTTTCACTGCTCTCTAACTGACTGTCCTTGAAGAGGGAACCACCAAGTTCTGACTGCTGTCACCACCCCCTCCAGTATAGTCCTTTGTACTGTCTGTCTCCTTGTTGGTGAACCCAGGAATCCAGGAGTCCTGTCTCCCAGAACCATCCTCGTAGAGCACCCTCCCTTCAAGGTAACTCTGGCATTCTGCTCCCCCTCCAGCTCGGGAATCTGGGGGGCCATGAAGACCAGTTGGGACTTCTAGTCCAACCCCTGTGCTTCTAACCACTAGGACTTTCTGGTCTCCCAGATGTGGGCCTAACATACAGCATCATTGGATGGACACACGACCTGAACCACTTCTCCTCCCTCCACTCTGCTAAGAGAACCCAGGAATCCCAGCTTTACAATTCCCCACCTCTCTTGCTGCAACCCACTTAATCCCTTTTTACACCCTCTCTCTCGAGCAGCAGGCACACCCCCCAGCCTGACAGACTGCACTCTCACAGGGAGAAGGACCCCCCACTCTTTTCCCCACAAGCCCAAACAATCTGGCCCTTCGAGGGCTCTGGTGTATGTATGTGCAGGGGGGAAGGGGTGCCTCCCATCCGGAGTGTTTTTCCATTTGACATTTGAGTCTGTTGATTATGTCAAATGCAAAGCGAATCGAGGAAGCAGGCAGGAAATCAAATCAAACCAGCTCATGCCGCGGCGGCAGCGGCGGGGGGCGGCGGGGGGGATGAGACCCCTTCTGTACTGACATTTTTTTTTGTTTTTAATAGTAATACTAATACCACCAGCAGCAGTAGCAGCAGCAGCGACAAAAGATCGTTTTGACTGGGGGGGACACGATGCAGATGAAAGGCACCCGACCTGAGTCAAGGGGAGGAGGGGGGTATTCTGCAATTAGCAGCATTTAATCTCCTCTAAACTTGGTAACATCTGGCCGCAGATATCTCCTCCCTCCCTTTCGGGGTGCTCAGGAGAGATCGGGGGACCCGAGCGGACGGGGAGGTGGGAGAGAGCAACGGAGCAGCCGCGCTTTGCAAACTGGCAGTCCCTCCACCCCACAATATCTCCCTCCCCCCTTGTTTTGGTACCCACTGTCCGTGCGTCTGTCTGGTCTGTGGTGGCCTCGCTGCCCGCGCTCTGTCGCTCCGTCTGTCTTTCCACCTTCACTTGCCTTTGACTCTCTGACTGCAAACACCACCTCCCCCCACCCCCAGGGAGAGACCCCTCCCCCCGATCCCCTCCCCCCAGCTCCGCCTCTGCCAATCCCGATTGCCAACAAGGAAGGGGGAGGGGGAGGGGAAGGGCGCGAGGAGAGACCGGCAACCATCTTTCCCCAGATCCTGGCAACAAAGGGGTTCCCTACAAAGGCGGGGCGAGAGACCCCCGAAATGACCTCAGCTCCCACCCCCAGCCCGTTTCGCTCCGATTCCGTCGTCAGATACTCTTCCCCTTTCCGTACGTGCCACTACGGAGCACTACTACGCGGCGCAGGAAGCGCCCCCGGCGCCCCCTGCAGGGCAGCGGGGCCCCGAATGGCGGGGGGCGTTCCCCGAGCAAGTCCGCCGCAGAAACAAAGCTGGCCGTGCTTAATCCGGAATACAGACCTGCCGAGCGTCCCGTGGTTCTTGCGGGACGCTCGCGGGGCTTCGTTTAAGACCCGTGGCTTCGCCACGGAAGAATTGAGGAATTGTTTCGGAACTGAGACCTGAACAACGTGAAGAAGGTGGCGTCACCGAGCATGCACAAAGTGCGGATCCGTTTAGCAAGGTAGCAACCAGAGCCCCGCTCCACAAATGCGAGATTAGGGAGCAGTGAATGCTTAGTCGTTGTTTTTAAGGAACTTCGAGATCTGCTTGAAAGTGACACCCTCTGACTCTGCCCCTCTGAATATACACGACTGTGAGATTCCTCTAGTTAGGCACAAATGCTCTGCACTTAGATTTTAACAGTAACAAGCACAGAATTTCCAGAAGAGAAGGTTCAGTTCTCTGACGTCTGTTGACATCTTGCCCTTTCTTCCCCTGCCATAAATTGACCGCTTGGTGCCACTTTTGGAGATGAACCTGAGTCAAAATGAAAGATCCATCAGCCCGGCTGAGTGATTCCAAGCAGGTCACTCTACTTTTCATCATGTTCTTCCAAATTGTAATAAGATCAACCAAGACTTTGCAATCCATATTTATCAGAAATAACTCACATCGCATTCTGTAAGACCTGCTCCAAAAATAAGCCTGGATTTTAAACTGTCACTTTGAAATCTATGTGCCTACTTCAGGCAAGAAGGTATGGCTTCTTAGTGGTTGATTCCCAGCTCCGAATCCCCATTCCTTTTGGGGTTCATCAAAAGCTGAGCCTAAGCATTTTTCAGGGTTTCCAGATATTGGTGGCTGAGGCAGATCCGAAGCAAAGTCCTGCACAAGTGCAACACTGGATTAAATATTTTGGTATGATTCTCCCCACTTTTGAAAATGAGTTGAGTATCAATTGCAAACACTCAAATGTTTGATTAGTATTAAGTAACTTGCCAAGGTTAGTGTCCAGGCAGCAGGCCTAACAATCGTGTTTGCCAGTGAGAAGACAGAAGACCATTCCAAGAAGGAAAACACACATTTGAAGTTATGAAACAAACCTGATGGGCAACTGTGGTGTAGTGAAATGCAATGCTTCAGAAAGTGGGCTGGGTTGGAGAAGTCACAAGTTTAGTCATAAATCATACTGGGGGACTTGGGGCCTGTCACTATTTCTCAATCTACCCTCCCTCACAGGACTGTTGTGAAGATAAAATAGGTGGGAGTGGAGAGCCCGGTATACCACTCCAAATTTCTTGGAAGAAGGGCAATATATAATTAAGCAGAATATCACTTCTCTGAAATTTATTTCAACTGTTGGTTGAGAATAATAAATGGGGGATTAGTCTAGCTGTGTACTTCTGATTCACTTGACTCAATACTTCCTCTATGTGATTGTGAGCTTAAACAGGCTAATAGCCAGGGATTTTGTGCTAGGGATTAACTTAAAAGTCAGAGTGAAGCAGCAGAGACATTTTAAGTTGTGTGTGTGTGTGTGTGTGTGTGTAGGGGGGAGTAATAAACTCAGTACCCTTGCATTTACTTGCTAGATGACTGGTGCAGGTTTATTTCTATTTATGGCACTTAATTGGGCAGAATAGTGCCTAAAGCTTTAATTTTTTTCTCTCTCTAGCAAAAACAAAAACAAACAAACAAAAAACAGTTTCCAGAACTTGGTCACAGTTAAGCATGATCAAGAAACAGAGCTTAGTGTGGGGCTAATCAGAAAGGGGCAGCAGGGTTAGTTCCCATTCTAAAGAAGTCCCTAAGGGTTCCCTGTCATTTTCTCCCATGCAAACAAATGGAATATGATCCTGAAGGTGGATGGCCCAGATCTTATAATGTTGGACATTTCTTAAGTAAACAAGGGACTTAAAAAACCAAGCAAAACCTGGGATTGAAAATTCAGGGAAGGGGCCAGGAGTTGGATAGCTTGAGGAGGGAGCCAAATTCCTGCAATCCCATCTTGTGATTAGAGCTCTGAGGAGACCCCTCAGTTGTAACTCTTGAATTATGAAACAACCTCCTGAAGGCTACATTATTCACCCACTTTGGTACCTTCTCTGATGAATTTGAGTAATTTCTTAAGGCTGTTTTATTTTGGCAGGCATTTCTTAATTACAACCCCTATTTGATCTTTAATTCCTGGTGGGTTTTATACCTATTTATTGCTTTTGTGGATATTCTGGCTGCTGCTTTTAGAAATGCACTTTGCTTTGTTATAATACATGTACATATGCATATACATGGGCTCTGTGTATTGCGCTGAGTATGTCTTTGGCACAGAAATATAGGATATAAATAAAACAACATCAAAGCAAAACCCAGCTCAGTGACGAAGTTTATGGGTTGACGTTGGGCTTGTCATTTTCTAGGTTAACCTACTTCACAGGACTGTTGTGAGGATAAAGGCTGTGGGGTGGAAATAATCATGCCTGAATGCTTTTTGGAGAATTGGTGGTGAAATAAATAATGTGATATGGTCTTGCAAATAAATACCCAGTTGCATTCCACAGGAATGTCTTATACACAGGAGTATAATAATGTCTTCAAACTTCTTGCCTGAATAGTTGCTGCCCTTGCTGCCCCTAATATAAGTCTGAATAGCTTGTGGTCCACTGAGCTGAATTCAGAGCCACCCATCCATTTATTCCTGCCTGCCAAGTGCTTCTTGACAACATGCCATCCACACCCTTCCAGTTTTTGCCTTCCCAAGATGGGAATGAAAACAGGAGACTCACTGAGTCCCCTTAGCTAATAGGCCAAGCTGTTGGTAGGCTTGGTAGGTCACAAGGCCTGTGTGGATAAGAACAACCCACCTCCATGCTCTCCCTGGTGGGAAACTACACAGGAGCCTGCCAAATGCCAACTACATCTGAGGGATGACTCCTAGGCATACGTGAGCTCAGAAAATTACTTCTTCCAGAGCTTCCGGCTTTTCTCAGTTCACATTTACAGCAATCTTTTGTGCATCTTGTTCTTAACGCACCCAATTAAATGTTGCTGTTTCTGTCAGAGCTGGGTGGGACTGTTTTTCCTGGCACATTCCTTGGCTGTGTTGATCTGGTCAAACCAGTTAGGCCCTGTGCTGTTTGCCTCCTGGACTAATCCTAGTGCAGGATCACCATCCGGCCCACATATGTGTGTGTGTGTGTGTGTGTGTGTGTGTGTGTGTGCGCGCGCGCGCGCGCGCGCGTGCGTGCGTGTGCGCGCGTACACACACACACACACACACACACGACCAGGTATCCTATTTTACAGAAGATAATTCTCAGTTCTGGTAAGCTGGCAGGGACTGTTTGGTGTCTTCTGTTTGATGGGCTGCCCCATCTCAGTCTGGTTTGAAGTCAAGGAACTGTAAGAAGGGAGAGTGGGGACTTGAAGTTGCCCATTGGCAGCTGGCACCTGGGCAGAAGATGGAGCAGGCAGATAGATCCCCTTGCTCAGTCTCTCCACTATAGTACAGTGTTTTGCATTTTTGTCTCAGTAATGCTAGTAATTTCTAAATTTGCATCAATACACATATTTGCATATACCAATATTACACCAATGGGCACCCTCTTCTTTTGGCTGTGTGTGCAATAGCCACCTAACTTCTTGGGTCAACTGCTTGGCAACATAAAGATATCCAGTCTGAACCAAAAGTGCAGATTCCTAAGCACCCCCATCCTAAAATTGTCACCCAAGTGGACCTTGCACTTGAGTTGAGAAAGTAGACTCAACGTTGTACTTAACATGTAAAGTTTTTAAAAACCCTAATTTCATCAGCTCCGAGAAAGGACTGGATGTGGCAGGCAAGGGCAAGGAGGGGGGATTTTATCCTTTCTACACCTGCTTTGGCTGTTCTAGCTGAAGTTGGTGTTTGGTTTCAAGGAAAAGCTTTCTCCCACCCCCATTGATGCCAATGTGAGATTTCCTTCCAATATAAATTTTAGCCACAGTGGAGGGATTTTCCTCAGAGCTGCAGCAGAAGAGGTAAGAGCTACATTTCTTCTCCATGCCTGTTCTCATCCAGTTAATTACTGGCTCACCAAACAAATGCTTTGTGCATGAAAAAAAGAACATGTTAGATCAAAAAGAAGCTGTATAAAAAAGAAAAGTCCATGAATCAATCCAAACTTCAATGTTCTTTGAGATCACACCTGATAGACATAAATTCATGACTGTCTCTGAGCATGTGCAGAATGGTTTATGTTCACCAGCAACTACCATCCCTCAAACACATTTAGGATTGGGGGCAGCAGGCTTTTTTCATGGCCAGCACTGCTTATATTAGAAATTCACCATATACGTCATAGACATGGTAACCAAATGAAAGAGATGTCCTTTTATAGTGAGAGAAGAAATGCTCAACTCATTAGTTATTTTAATTGTTTACAAGATTTATTAGCACAAGAGCAAGATGACTTAACAAGAGTTCAATTAAGCAATGATATTCAAAGCAACTGTTGCAGAATAAGGAGTTCAAGTGTTCTGAGGATCAAAAGCCATGAGATGCTGCTGCAAATGATAGATTTAATGGTTTAAATGATCGACCCCAAATGATGCACCTTCCATTCCTTTCAGGAAACATTCCAGGTTTATGGAACAATTCAGATAACAGTCTCACAGGACACTGGACCTGACCCA